GTGTCATGTGACTCCACGAGCAACTCCTGGGATTTCCTCGGAGACGGCGGCGGCAGCCTGTGGTGCAGGCGGCCAGGTCCAGGCAGGCAGGGAGGGCCCTGGTTGGCACGATGGTGGGGACAGAGCCCGAGCTCAGGGCAGGGACCCCGTCGCTAGAATCGGGAGGGCGCCCACGTCCCTGCTCCCCACAGAGGCTGCATCCGGGCCTCTCCTCCAGCCCCAGCGGGACCCCAGCGCCGGCTCTCAGAGGTGCCTATAACGACGCCCCTTTCTCATTCGCTTGGGGATCAATTACTCATGTCGGGGCGATCGCTCACTCACAGAGCAGGCTGCTTCTCGGTGGCCGTGGCGAGTCCCCTCGCTGCCTGGAGAGCAGGGCCCGCAATGTGTGGGGCCCGAGCCCCGGGGTCTGCCAGCGCCAGCCGCCCAGAAGGGGCCCATTCCTCCCGGGCGACCAGGAGAATGGCCTGTGGGCCCGGCAGGATGAGGGCGTGGGCTGCCCGAGGCCGCGGGGCAGCGCGGAACCTCCCCAGTGGCCGTGGCAGCTGTGGGAGGGGCACCAGGAGGCGCTGCCCACGGCGCTGGCCAGCTCTGGCCACGGGCGTCTCACCCCGCTGGGCGCACGTCCTCATGGCATCGGGTGGCAGCAGCTCTGCGGGCTCGGGCTCAGATGCCGCAGCGGCCCCGCGTCAGGTCATGCGCCAAGCCCAGCGTCGGGCGGGGCGGCTCAGCAGGAGGGAAAGCCTCTCACCGGAAGCATGGCCGCCACCCCGCCTCCCCCCGTCGGCCCGTAGACTCAGAGGCACAGAGGGGCCAAACGAAAGGGACCTTCGGTCGGACAGTCTTTGCTGGTCCTCCTGGTGCCGGAGAGGGTCCAGGACACCTGTGGGCGCCTCCCCAGTGCCCGGCCCAGACCAGCCCTCTCCCTGCTCCCGGGCTTCCTTCCAGCAGGGACAGTGCGTGCAGAGGCGGGCACAGGGGGCAAGGGGGCCCCTTCCTCCCCCTCCCTCCCTCCACCCTCCTCCCCTCTTCCTCCCTCTCCTCCCCCGCTCCTGTCTTTCTCCTCCACCTCTTTCTTCTCTCCTTCCTTCTCTCTATCCGTTTCCCTGCCCCCCTCCCCATGTGCAAGTGGCCTGAGGAAAAGATGCATATTTTAAGCAGCAAAAGGGCACCTACACTGTCCTTTGGGGGCCACTTTGCCAAGGAGGGGGTGGGGGGACTGGCTGGACCCAGGCAAGTCCCCGTGGACCCAGTTTCCTGTCTGTGGGTGGAGACACTCAGGGGCCGCACAGCCGTCGCGGGCTCCGTGGGTCTGCTGGCCCCACACGCATGTCCCAGGCAGCAGGTGCTCCCGTGATGGAGGGAGGGCTGTGAGCCGCGGGGCGGTGGCGCTGGGCCTCGTGTGCCCATGTGTACCGGTGAGTCGGTGCCAAGCCCGGAGCCCGCCGAGGTCCAGGCTGGGCAGGGCTGGCTGAGGACACAGGCCTGACCGTCCAGCGGGTCACGTCTGGTGGCCCAGCCCCGCGGGCCGGAGCCGGACCATGCGGGGAGGGACAGCCACTCAGCCTTCCCACGAGGCCTGGGAGGCTCTGGCAGAAACGTGTCTGTGGCTGGCGGGCGCCGTGGAACCGTGCGGGTCCCGGAGTCCGTGAGGTCTCCAGTGAATGTCATGTGCTCCCCAGTCATGCTGCGATCCTCACCCCAAAGGCGGTCTCAGCAGAGGGACCCATGGAAATGTCTGCCGCCTGAGTGGTCGGGGCCGCACCTGCCCTCCGTGTGCCCGCCCTACATGTGAGGACAGGACCCCGAGGGGCCCCTGCATCTTGATCTCAGCCTCGCAGCCTCCAGAGCTGCAGCCACGGACACCTGTGGGCCCCCGGCCCCGCCTCCCCCCCCACCCCCCGCTCTGTTACAGCCTCAGAGCTGGCCCGGACGCCGTGACCACGTGACCTTGGACAGGTCGCCATCCTCTGAGCCTCACTGTGAGGGGCCGGCTGTGCCCCGACCCGGCATCCGTAGGGCGGAGGGATGCCGGGCGCTGACGGGGTGCCTGGGCACCGTGCCTGCTCCGTCCTGCGGCGATGGGATCAGAGCTGCAGATCAGAACGGCGTCCGGGGAAGCCGCAAGCACGTTGGGTTTAGACTCCTCCCTCCCGGCCTGTCCTTTCATGCAAACGCTTCACCCTTCAGCGCCCAGCGCTTGCACGTGGAATGCCCGTAGCCTCTCATCAAATTAGACGCGCTCGCGGCTTCGCGACGACCCTTCCAAGTGCATTACAGGCGGCGCCTCAGATGGCTGCGGGGGGAGGGCTCTGCCTGGGCATGAGACGAGCGAGTGACTCCCTCAAGCCTCCCAGCTGGTACGGGCAGCTGGGGTGCGGGCGGGGGGTGCAGGCAGCTGGAGTGCAGGGGGGGTGCGGGCAGCGGGGGTGCAGGTGGGTGTGCGTGTGGGGGGTGCGGGCAGATGGGGTGCAGGCAGGGGGTGCAGGCAGCTGGGGTGCAGGGGGGTGCGGGCAGCTGGGGTGCGGGCGGGGGGTGCAGGCAGCTGGGGTGCAGGGGGGTGCAGGCAACGGGGGTGCAGGTGGGTGTGCGTGTGGGGGGTGCGGGCAGAGGGGGTGCAGGCAGCTGGGGTGCAGGCTGGAGGGCACAGATGCAGTTGGGGCAGCAGGTGCCGCCACCGCCTGCACACCCTGTCCCGTCCGCACGCTGCATCTGGGCAGAGAGCGGGCACAGTGGGTCCATTGGACTCTGAACCACAGACGAGTGATGAGCAGAGACGGCCGGTGTGAAAGGCTGAGGGGGTGGTGAGTCCGGTCTTCCTCCCACCGCCCTCCAGTCCTGTGACCTCCTGGTCGGTCGGTCGGCCGGTCGGTCGGCTTAGTCCCAGGGAGCGGAGGCGTTCCCAGGCTCGGGCTACATTTGAGGAGCCTGTGGGAGCCCCCAAGCTGCATGTTTGAGAGGCTGCTTCTTGGCCGGCCCTGAGGGGTGCCAAGCCCTCCCTGGCTCCCCCACTCGACCTCACGCTCAGGAGAGGGGTCGGGGGTCGGGGGTCGGGGGTCGGGATCTCTGGGCCCCAGAGGGTGGGAGGTCCCCGGCCTCCAGCCACTCTCCACGGCCATCCTCCTTCCCGCGTGGCCGCCTGGACTTGCTCCCGGGAAGCGCAGCGGCCGAGGTGCCCTCTGCAGATCTCATACCCACTCCGTCCTCCCGGGACGCAGCTGACATGAAATCAAACCAGACGCTCTCCCAGCCAGACCAGGGGGTTCCCCCGCATCTGCGACCCGAGGTGTCGCCTTCCCAGCATGCCCCTGGGCGTGTTGCCAGGTCCGACACCACCCCCTCCAGGTGTAGGCCTCCACCCCCCGCAGTCTTCAGACAAAGCAGCTCTGAAGAGAGCGGGGAGTGCCCGGGGCATAATGCCCTCTGCCCTCTGCCCTCTGCCCTCTGCGCACCAGCCACTCGCCGCGGGTCCTCTCTGGGCGCGCTGGTCCGTGCACAGCAGGGCTGCCAACGACGGGCCCCTCCCTGGGCGCCACGCCTGCTCCTGCCCCTGCTCCACCCTCACAACACCCCGAGAGGAAGGGCACTGGTATTAGACCCATTTCAGAGATGGGGAAACTGAGGCTCGGAAGGGCTAATTACCTCGGCAGAGGCAGGGCTGGAGCCCAGGCTGCCCAGAGCCATGGCGCGGGCACCGCTGACGGTCCTCCTGGTTCTCCGGCACCTGGCTGGTTGTGAGGAGTGTTGGTTCGCGCGGTTGGGCCGTGGGAAGCGCCGGAATCTGGGGTGGGTGTCGCTTAGTAAACACCGTGGCTGCCGAGCCGACGCCTGGGTGGTGCGGCTGGACGGTTCCAGCACGTCCGTGGTCGCTGCCCTTGCTGCTGTGGGAAGTGGCGGGAGCACACGTGGCCTGGACCTGCGTCCCCTGTGCCGGATGGAGGCGGGTGGTGGGCCAATGCGGCCTGGGCACCCTGGGCACCCACGAAGGCAGAGCCTGCAGTACCTGCTCTCACTGGGAGGTGGCGCCCTTCCCCAACAGTTGGAATCTGTGGCTTTTAGGCCTCAGCGGCCACAGATCCCGGGTATTAGCCAGGAAAACAAACCAGAGACCCCTTCCTCCCTGGGTCTCCCACCCAGCACTGGGCTGGCCCCTCCTGCTGTACTGAGTTCCTTCGGCAGACGGGGCGCAGCGGAGAGGGGGTCCCGCTCAGGTGGGCGTGGGGAAGGCCACCCCTGCCTCCCGGCCCATCGGGAAGGAGGTCACTGTCCCCCCAGAGGGAGTGCAGGGAGCGATGGGGGGGGGGAGGGAAGGGGGGGCCACCCAATGGCGGGCGAGCTCGGTGCAGGCTGGAGGGGAGCCTGCCCTCCCGGGTGAGCCGAAATGAGCCCGTGAGGGTGTGGATCCAGCCAGCGAGCCCCGGAGACTCCCGTGGCCTCGCGCTGAGGCCGCCGGAGCAGGGACTGGTGCCAACCTGCCCTGCCCCAGCGCGGGCACGGGACTGTGGCTCCAGCCCCGCCCTAACCACAGACCCCAGGCCCCGCCTCACCCTGCTCGTGGGTGGGGCCCCTTGAGCGCCCCCCGTTGGGATGCACCCAGCTCCCGCTCCGTGTGCCCACCCCTCAGCCCGCGCCCCGGAGCCCACAGCGCTGGGTGTCGACCGGCTGCGGCCAGGAGCACCCCTTCTTCCAAGGGCCACCCTGGCACTAGCTGGGGTGGAGCGGGCCCTGGGTGTGGGGTCTCTGAAGGGTCCCCGGCCGCCTGGGGGTGAGGGAGGGCCCATCAGTGCCGCTCGGGCCTCCGCCCCAGAGGACTTGGGTGCCCTGGGCGCGGCGGTGTCTTCCCGGCCAGTCACCCCGTCCCGGCTCCCGGCGCCTGAGGTTTGCAGGCCTCGCGGCCGGCGCCAGGGGGCGGCGGGGAGCCAGCGGGAGGAAGAATCCACCCATTTCCTGGGCTGAGCGCGTCGCCGTCGCCCGGCCTTGTCCCCGCCTCCCGGCCGCGGCCCCCGCGCAGTCTGCCCGGCGCGCGGAGCCAGAGCGGCGGCCCTTCCCGGCGGCGGCGGGGCGCGGAGGGCGCGGCGGCGGCACCGGCACCGGGACAGCGCGGAGGCCGCCGGCGGCCACTCTCTCCGCGCCCGGAGGCGGCGCACCATGGCCGGGGCGCGCGGGGCGGCGGCGGCGGCGGGCGGGCGGCGGCGGGCCGAGGGGGCGCGGGGACGCGGCCGGTCGCCCCTGCCCGCCGCGGTGCCCGCCGCCTGAAGGCTGCCCGGGGCGCGGGGCCGGCGCCGGCGCGGCGCGGGCGCAGGAGGCGACTCGGGCGCGATGTCGGTGCCGCTGCTCAAGATCGGGGTTGTGCTGAGCACCATGGCCATGATCACCAACTGGATGTCCCAGACGCTGCCCTCGCTCGTGGGCCTCAACACCACCCGGCTCTCGGCGGCCGGCGGCGGCACGCTGGACCGCAGCACCGGCGTAAGTGCCGCCCTCCCGGCCCTCCGACCCCCGACCGGGCTGGGCGGCGCCACCGGGAGCGGCCGGGCGCTCGGGGCAGGCAGGTCAGGGGGCGGCTCCTGGGCGCTGCGGTGGGGACCGGCGCCCCGCGCCCCGCGCCCCAGCCCGGCCGCTCCCGCCGCCGCCCCTCCAGCCACGCTGCCCGGCTCTGCCCGTCCCGCCCGGGGGCGCTCGGGGACTCGGGGTGGCGTCCTGGGTCAGGGCGGAGCAGGTCGCTCCTGGTGAGGTTAGGACGAGGCGGGGGCCCGGGGACTCGTCCAAGGTCACTCAGCAGGTGAGGCTGGCGACGCGCCGCTCCGCTCCGCCCGGCGCGCTGGGTCCACCGGACTCGCACGGAGCCCTCCCTACTTTGTAGCAGCCGGTCCTGCCCGGCCAGGCCTTGGCCGGAGCCGTGCCCTCCCGCCTGCGCGCCCCAGAGCCCCAGGGCTCTGTCCTCCCGTCCCTGCTTGAAGGCCCCAAGTGTGCGGAGGGGCGGGGGCTGGTCCCCTGGGTGCCACCAGCTGCCGGCTCACCCCATGCCTCCCGCGGGCCCTCCCCCCTGCCTCCCTGCTCAAGGCGGGGGAGGGGGCCCGGCTTTGGGCAGGGCTGACAGGAGGGTGGCCCAGCGGCTGGAGGGAGGCTGAGCTGGAGCCCCGTGAGTGGGCGGGTGCCCCCCGGAGGCCCAGGCAGCTGGAAGGAGAGGTGAAGGGCAGAGGTTCCGGAGCTCCCCTTTTTGCTGTCAAGGGCACTGAGCTGGGGGAGGAGGCTCGGGGACGCCCTCTGAGTCCCCGGCACCTGCGGGTTCAGGCACCCCTGCAGTGCTTCCTGCTCACGCCGCTCCCCTCTGCTTCCAGCTGCTGGGTTTGGAAGTGAATGGAATTAAATGTGCCCGCACTCTCCTTTCTCAGCACCAACTTCTCCCCACCCCGAGCTAAAAATAGCGGGTGACCTGCCTCTTTGGGCAGGCTGTGGGGGCCGAGGAGGTGCCGGGGAGTGTGCCCCCGCCCCGCGCACCTGGCCCTCGGACCACCTGAGCCGACTGCAAGGTGACACCTGCGGTCCCCAGCTCTGGCTGGACTGAGATTGGGCGTGACGCCTGTCACCAGGAACTCGGTGACATCCCCACACTCAGGGTGGGAGCAGCCGTGCGCTTGGGGCCTGGCGTTTCAGGGCAGCCTGCGCCGGGCGGGCGGGAGGGCTCGGGCTGGGTCCTCGCACCCTGGCTGATAGCGGTTGGGTCGCAGCTATTAACGGTCTGACGGTGGGTGCTTCATCTCCGGCTCTGGGAGGAGCGGGGAGCAGCTTCGGCTGCGGCTGCGAGCCCCCCTGCTCGCCCTCAGGGGAGGGGATCGTATTTCTCAGTTACGTGCCCACTGGGTCCACCAGCGGCCTCCCGCCTCCCTCCCCTTCCAGCTCCGGCCCCGGCTGCCCCTCCCTCTGCCTAATGGATCGGTTTGGTCAGACGCCAAAACTCCACTATCCCTTGAATTTGAAAAACTGTAAACAGCCGTGCCTGTCGGACTCCCGTCCAGCCCCGGGGACCCTGACGGGAGGCCCTTTGTTTTTGGGGACCGTCTCCCCGCCCCCCCCCCCCCCGCCATCAGAACATCTTTAGATCATTTCTGTCTGCTTTGCCCCGGGGTTGGCCTGGACAGTCCTCCCCGTGTCCCACCTGATGTCTCACTGTCTCTCCCCCCCCCCCCCCCCCCCGCCCAGGTGTTGCCCACCAACCCTGAGGAGAGCTGGCAGGTGTACAGCTCCGCCCAGGACAGCGAGGGCAGGTGTATCTGCACGGTGGTCGCCCCCCAGCAGACCATGTGCTCGCGGGACGCCCGTACGAAACAGCTGCGGCAGCTGCTGGAGAAGGTGAGTCTGTGCGGGGCATGTGTGTGCCCCTGTGTGCGTGTGTGTGTGTGTGCGTGTGTGCGTGTGTGCGTGTGTGCGTGTGCGTGTCCACACCGCCGCCGCCGAGGCGTGGCCAGCCCGCAGGGTCCGTCCCAGCTCCACGACTCCCTCTTCCCATTGAGGATATTTGTGGATGAGTGATGAGTGAGTGAGTAGATGGGGACTCCCCAGCGGTCCAGGAGGAGATGACAGACCCTCCCCATCACTGCAGCTCCACTGAGAAGCCACTGGGCTCCCCTCATGCCGCCTCCCCCGGGGACGCCTTCACCTGCGGCCTCAGGCTCTGGCCCCGGCAGCAGCGTCCCGGGACCCGGGGTGCAGGCCACGCGGGTTTGCCCGCAGGGATTTTCCCTCCTCTGAGCTGTTGGACCTGGCGCGTGGCAGGCCGAGCATTGCCCACCGAGGAGGCACCCCACCCCCACCCCCCGAGGGCGCGCTCCTGGCATAGAAGCAGGTTAAGTGGTCACCTTCGTCGCCCACCTGGGAACAGCCCCACGCAGTCGCATAGACATTTTCCGTCCATTACTTCACTGAATCTTCACAAGAACCATGTGACGTAGATGAGGTCTTTCACGCCACCTCGGGCAGTGGAAATGTGGGTCAAGAGAGAGGCCCCGGCTCCTCCCGGGAGACAGCCGGTGAGCGGGGCCGCGCTCACCCCCGGTCCTCGCGCCCACCGGGCCCGGCAGCCTCTATCCCACAGGGGCGGCTGCGGCAGGCGGAACAGCCAACTCAGCTCCTGGCACATTCCCTCCAGACCCCTGGGTTCCCGGAGAGCCCGGGGGTCGGAGTTCATGGGAAGGAGAAATGGGGCCTCTGTTCCACTCATCACCCTCCTCCCAGGCGAGGGGACCCTTCCCACCCTGAGAGAGCGGGTCACACCACACACATACCACACACACATAGGTACACACACAGTGCACACACCTCATACACAGAGATACAGACACACACATAGATACACTGCACACACCTCACATACACAGATACATACACACACTCTGCACACACCTCACATACACAGATACATACACACACACACACTGCACACACCTCACATACACACAGATACATACACACACACACACACTGCACACACCTCACATACACACAAGTACATACACACACCACACACACACATAGATACACACACTGCACACACCTCGCATACACACACACACCACATACAAATACTCATACACACAGATACACACACACACACACACACACACAGCGTGAAGCCGTGGCTTTGCCCTCAGTTGGGGGCAAGAGAGGAGCCATGGGGAGGGGGTGCTGGAGGGCGCCGTCCTCGGGCTGCCCCCCCGCCCAGGAGAGGCCGGCACCTGCTGGGCCTGAGCCCCGCTCACTGAGACCCTCGCTCGGCTGCAGGTGGACCTGCGGGTCCCTCGCTTGGACCCGTTTCCCAGCTGTGCCGTCAGGGGCCCCCAGGAGGGCCTGGGAGGGACCGTGATTCCTGGGCAGGAGGCAGGCGGCGGGGCAGGCAGAGCCGGGCAGCAGCCGGTCCCTGGGGCTGCGCCCTTGGAGGGGCAGAGCTGTGTTCTTTTCCCACCGAGAAAGTCACTTAAAAAGAAAGTCAAAGCCTTAGCAGCTTCGGCAAACATGTATTCACACAAGCTAGACCAGAGCCTCACGAGCCTTAATCACTCAGAACCGGAGGGGGGTGGAGCCTGGGGGCCTCCGCTCAGGGCCGGCGCTGAGACCCCCCACCTCCCGCTCCTGACAGGAAGCCAGTCAGGGTTCCAGAAAGCTCCGGGAGCCCTGGCACTGCAGCTCTTCTTTCTGCCCCTGAGCCAGGGCGTCACTGCTTAGCCGTGTGCAGCCCTCGGCGTACCCGTGGGCACTGCTCTCCCAGGGCACAGCCATTTGCCGAGGGCCTGGCTGCTCTGTGCCTTCTGCCTGCAGAAGGGGCAGGGCCTCCTGCTTCCCCTCCCCCTCCCCCTCCTTCTCCCCCTCCTCCTCCTCTTCCTTCCCCTCCCCCTCCTCCCGCTGCTCCTCCCACTCCTCCTCCTCCTGCTCCTCCTCCAGCTGGGTTGCCCCAGTCTCCCCTCCTCTTTCCTTGTGGAGGAGCAGGGGCAGGGCGAGGCCAGGGCACTGGGCGGACCCGGGGGCGGGCCCAGCGCTGTGGCCCCTGTGCCCTGTCTCTGGGCGCATCCCATCCACTTCCACTTCCGCACGAAGGCTCCACCCTACAATCCCCTACGGGCGCCCCATGGCGAGCTGGTCCCTTGCCCTCAGCTCTGGTTTCCATGGGCCTGGAGTCCTTGGGAGGCACCTGGCGTCAGGGCTAAGGACCACAGAGACCCTCAGCGGGTGTGGGGCGGGCAGAGGGTGGGCAGAGGGCAGGCGGCCCCCCACTCTGTGCTCTTGGAAGACATGCGGGGCCCTGGGTTTGAAAGTGCGGGCGTGGGAGTCAGACCAGGCCTTGGATGTGGCTGACCGCTGCAGTGTGAGGGCAGGCACGTTTCCTAACGTCGCTGAGCCCCGTTAGACGCTGAGACCCAAGCCTGTGACCAGCAAGTGGGAGGTGTCGCCTGCAGCCCGCAGTCAGGAATGTTAGCCCCGGTGGGGCGGGGCTTGATGGAACCGCCATTGTGTCCCTTCCTCCCAGCCACACGGCTGCAGGGGGCGCCCCTGTGCACGAGGTGGCTGAGTCCCGTGCTGAGGTGACAGGTGTGAAGGGGGCCAGTCCCCCTCCCTCCCCGAGTCTCCCCGTCCAGCAAGGTGGCTGAGACAGCTGTGCAGGTTACTCCTGGGCAGGCACTGTGCCAACAGGGTGAGGTTGTTTCCAAGTCGTGTGCAGCCACTTCTGGCTTAGCTCATCAGGGAGGCCTGCCTGGAGGAGGTGCCGTTGGGCAGGGCCTTGAAGGGCGAAGGAAACCAAGCATTGCAACTTTTCTCAAAAGAGGTGCTGCAGTGATTCAGAGTGACAGAGCAGGAAGGTGAGGGGACAGGGGGACTTCGGGCGCTAGAGCACACATATTCTAGGTCATACAGCGTCTCAGGAGAGAGGGCCCGAGGGCACCGGAGCCACCCACATGTTGTACTCGACGAGCCGGGATTTCTCGCAGAATCTGTGTGTGCTGCTTTCAAATAATGTCCTAAAATCCCCGGCATTTTAAAACGCCGAGATGAACAATGCCGGTTTCTCTTGCTGAGAGGCCTTTGCTGGCCTCTTATTTTATTTGGGGGGGTGGCGGGGAGGCAGGAAGGAGTGGAAGCCACGCTGCCGTCTCCTCTCGCTGAGGCAAAGCTGAGCCTCAGACCCGAATGATTTTGTTGCTAAAGGGGGGGCGGGGGGCGGGGGGGGCGATATTCTTAACCAGCAGAAGCTCAGAAACGAAGATTTGCGCCTATGGAGATGCCTCCCTCCCTCGCATTGGACTCGATTCCGAGCCCACGCGCCCGCGCCCGCGCCCGCGCCCGCGCCACTGCGACAAGCCTGAGCTCGAGCCACCGCCCCAAACGCATTTGCTCAGAATCGCCAGCCAGTTTCCTGGAAACAAAAAGCGCTGGCAGGTGGCTGCGCCCAAACGCGTTCCTGTTAAGCTCCCTGCCACCCTGTGGAATATTAAAGTCCGCCTCCAGGCGGGACTCCGTTCCCACGTGCCTGGAGGGTGCGGAGCGGACATCCGTCATTTGCGGGTGATTGACTCCCGACGCGGGGCCCGAGTGTACATGTTTGCAGAGCAGTGTCGACCTGGGATGTCGTTGGGGTGATGGATGGCCCGCGGTGGGGGAGAAGGGCCCGCCGCCGGATCAGACTGGGCATCCCGGTGCCTCCGTTCCCGCCCGCGCTCGGCCCGCCTTTCTCGGGGAGGCACCCGGTGAGATTAGGGGCACAAGAAGCTGTACCCGGGCTGGGGGAGCCCCTCGATGCTGTTCCTCTTCATGGATGTTTATGTCTGCCTGACTGGGTAAAGAGAGGAGGGACCACGCCCCCAAAAGAAGGGAAACTCGCCGCCCAGCCGCACGCCCAGAGCTGTGGCCCGCGAGGGCGGGGCTCCGGCCCTGGTTTGCATCCCGGGCGCTGGGAGGAGGCAGGGGGTGTTTACCAGACCCATTTGCTGTGTTTGGGAAGCGCTCGGTCCTCACCATCCCCGGCCGTGTGGGAAGGTCCCTGCGCGCATTAGGAGGCCCGTGAGGTCGGCTGCGCCTGCCGCGGCGCCCTCCTTGACCTTGGCCTCTTCGGCAGGTGCAGAACATGTCCCAGTCCATAGAGGTGCTGGACCGGCGGACTCAGCGGGACCTGCAGTACGTGGAGAAGATGGAGACCCAGATGAAAGGCCTGGAGTCCAAGTTCAAGCAGGTGGAGGAGAGCCACAAGCAACACCTGGCCAGGCAGTTCAAGGTGCGTGTGTCCTCCTCCCAGGCAGGGTTTGCTGCCCTCGAGGCTCCCCTCTCCCTCTAGAGCTAGCGATTGGGGGGCGGGGGAGCCGAGCGAGGTTTGCTCTCTGCTGTCCTCGGAGACAGAGGCAGCTGCCTGCACGCACCCTGAGAGGGAGGCTGGGCCGGGCCTCGGTTCCCAGCACCTCTAGCGTCAGAGGCCAGGGGTCCCGGGTCCAAGCTCCGGCCAGGTGCCAGCTCCGCAGCTGCTGCGGGTCAAGCCCCTCAGCCGAGGACTGGCTTCCCGGGTCACCTCAGTTAGCTGTGGCGCGGCCACTGTAGGGTCACAGGGAAGAGAGAGAGAGACACCAACATCTTTCTCACTTTGTGGTAAGTGTTCCTGCTCTCCGGGTGACTGGACCGTAAGGCCGGGGTGTGACCTGAAATTATATATACATACGTATGAATATGTATATATACAGACACATAGATATTCACGCACCCAGAGCGAACGCAGCTTCAGAACTCCTAAACTGAGGAGCGCTATGCACCTTAATTAAGGCAGACGTGCATGCTAATTAGAACTCTGGCCCGGATATAAATGAGCGGGTCGATAACACAGCCCGCACGACTGGAAATTGCTGACGCGGTCGACCTGTCCCCTCCACGCCGGCGTCTCCCTTTGATGAGCTCTGCATGAAGCAGGAACGGACTCGCTTTTAAAAGCCACCGTCCTCTAGAGGAACCGGCGAGCCGATGACGTTACCGGCTGGAGGAGAGTGAGCGGTCGCCCTGGCCCGAGGCAGGCGGGCGTACCGTCGTCCTCGCTTCTGCCGCGTCATCGCGAATTATCCGGGAAGAGATTTTGACCTGCCTGACCATAAAGAGTTTGTGTCTCTCCGTCAAAGGCCAGCACTCCCTTCTCAGGGGCGCGAGGGGGGAGGGATAAGGCAGAGTCCTCTCAGGGGGCCGGGTCCCCCGCGGCCAGGGGCTAGCTCCTCTCTGCTAGCGCCGCCCACACAGCCGTCTCCCCCAGGCCCCGAATCGGGGCGCTGTGGCTCTGGGGGAGACTGGCAGCCCTTGCCCTCCACCGGCTTTAATTGCATTAAACGTGCCAGCGCAGGGCGGTGAGGGATTGACGTCGCTGGCAAGGCCGGCGGCCTGGACGAGCCCTAGCACTGAAGTGTGGTTCCTTCTAAGTGCCCGTGACGCGATCTGTCTGCGAGTGGCTGTGTGTGTGAGGCAGGCTGGTGAGGTAGTTCTTCAACGGTATTTCGTTTTCTTGCTTGCAGGGCTAACTTAAAAGCGTTTTTTCAGAGCCGCAGTGACTGAAGAGGCATGTGCCCATGTACCCATGACCGCGGGCCAGACTGCTTTTTGCACCCTGCATTTTTACTCTCCTTCCCGACACTTAGCGCCATTTCACTAAGGAATCCAACCGCGACCCTCTTTTTTGCATGCGACTGTAGATGCATTTCACGAATCCTTTGAACCCTTGTCAATGCATTTTTTTTTTTTGAAAAAGAAAAAAAAAACAAAAGGAAACTGTGTGTATGTGACCTGAAGCATGTAACCTTAAGATGTTGCATTCTACCTGACAATAAAGACCTTTCCCAAAGATGATGGTGTTCTGAAGACTGTTTCATACGCTCTCCTCGCGCTGGGGGCCGGAGGATAAGCCAGCCTGTGAGAGGCGGGGAGCGGCCAGGCCCAGGCAGGGTGTGACGAGTTTTTGCACGCATCGCACTGAACCTAGCTTATTTTAACCTTGCAGGCGATAAAAGCGAAAATGGATGAACTTAGGCCTTTGATACCCGTGTTGGAAGAGTACAAGGCCGATGCCAAATTGGTTTTGCAGTTTAAAGAGGAGGTCCAGAATCTGACGTCAGTGCTTAACGAGCTGCAAGAGGAAATTGGCGCCTATGACTACGATGAGCTGCAGAGCAGAGTGTCCAATCTTGAAGAGAGGCTCCGTGCGTGCATGCAAAAGCTAGGTAGGCCCAGCACCCTGCGGGGCGGGCGCGCGCGGGGCGGGGCGGGGCCCGGCCCCGCCCACCGCGGCCCGGCCCCGCCCACCGCGGCCCGGCCCCGCGCTGGCTCCGGGCGCGGTGCTGAAGTGGACAGCGCCCGCCTGGCTTCCGGAGCGGCGGGCTGCGCAGGGCTCGCGGGCAGGGCCCCGTGGAGGCTGCCCCCGCGTGAGCGCGCGGTCCCACCCCGGGCGGGGCCGGGCGCAGACCCCGCTGAGTTGCACACCTGGAAGAAATAGGAGGATCAGTTGCTGCAAACCGTCTGAAGAGTGTGCGTGCGCACGCGCGTGCGGGTGTGTGGGGGTGAGTTCCCAGGACGCGAGTGGCTTAGTTAGGGCTGCAAACTGCACCTCCGCGTCCCTCCCGGTGGGCACCAGGCCGAGGAGGCGCCTCGGGCACCGCGCCCGGCCTCGAGGAGCAAATTCAGCCCCAAATTCAGCGCCGGCGGAGGGTGGCCATTTAGGCGAGCGAGGAGCCGCTCCCACAGCTGCCCGCTCCCCGCTCCCTTCGCGCGTGGGGGCAGCCTGAGTTCTTATTCGTGATTGGACACCCACTCGCCTTAGCAACCTTCCTGTTAATTGCTTTTATAAGTCTTTCTTTTTTTTAATACTCGCCCCTAGGATATTTTTCCCATTGATTTTTTTTTTTTTTTAAAGAGAGAGAGAGAGTGGGAGGGAGGGAGGGAGGAGAGAGAAGAAACCAACGATGAGAGAGACACACCAATCAGTTGCCTCGCACACTCCCCCCCCCCCCCCAATCGGGGCCTGGGATCCACCTGCAACCCAGGTACTACCCTTGACTGGGAACTGAACCTGCGACCCTTCGGCATGAGGGCCGCCGCTCCAGCACCGAGCCTCACGGGCAGGGCCTGCGTCTACATGTCGGTGCCCGAGCCCCCTACCTCCCAGTTCCACTTCTTAGACCTTCTTCCCGAAGGTCGGCTGGCCCTTCTCGTCACGGGTTTAAAACAAAGGTTGCTCATCCCGTAGTGTGCTTCTTAGGGTAACTCGGGGTACGTTTGCGTTATCCTTTGGTTTTACCTGATGTCCTTGGCTCCCTTTTTATTCACCCCCCAACCCCCCCACACACTCACACTCACACACACACAACGTAAGACATCCCCAAAGAGCCGGCGCCAGTGCTGTTGTCCGTGAACGACCGAAAGGTGCCGAGGGCGGGGAAGCCGCGGCCGCCGGCCATTCTTTGAACAGGTTCCCGAGTCCAAAGCTGCCCCCCGCACCCCGTGGGGGCACACGTGCTAGCCCCCGCTCTGGAGAGAAGCCTGCGCGGCTGGCGTGGAGAGGGAACGCGTGCCATGTGTACACGCTGGCTGTGTCACAGGAGCACGTGCTGCCGCGTGTTCTCAGCGACATGCTTCCCGGCACCCACGTCCTGGTGTGTCGGGCTGAGTGACCTGGGACAGTCCCAGGGGGGGTCTGGGTGGACGGCCCGGACCTGCTGCTCCCTTCTGGCACCCCAGGAGCGGGGGCGGCGCCTGAAACGCAGTGATGCTGGGCTCTGATTATTTCCGCGGGGCGTGGTCTTGGGGTTTCTGCCCGGAATGACCCCGAGCTCCCGGCCACCTCTCTCTCTCCAGACCCTCCCCCGGGGTCCCTCTTGGCCTCTGACGTCCAGAGCACGTGGGGGGAAGGGTATTTGTTATTTTTGCCCCAAGATACAACCTCCACACTTTTCAATGAGCGGATCACAGAGCAAAACGTCACGCGGTGAGAAGCGAGGCCTTGGAGGGGCGCCCCGCCCAGACGAGCAGGCTGCCCGCCCGGCCCTGCCTGGTTCAGAAGCTGCCTGAGCTCAGCCGATGGCGTCAGCGCTCAGGGCTGTCACGTGGTCCCCCTCAGGCTGCTGAAGGGCTCGCTGGGGAGTAGAGAGAGGATGACGAGGCCCTTGGAGGCGTTCTCCTCGCTGGAGGGCAGCCACCTGATGTCACCTCTGGTTTCTTTTTTCAAAAGACCTTGATGTTTAGAGAGACTGTGAAGTGGGGTCTGCAGGTGGGGTTCAGGGTCTGCAAGTGAGGCCTGGGGTCTGCAGGTGGGGTCTGGGGTCTGCAGGTGGGGCTTGGGGTCTGCTGGTGGCCCAGGGTCTGCAGGTGGGGTTCGGGGTCTGCAGGTGGGACTTGGGGATCTGCAGGTGGCCCGGGGTCTGCAGGTGGGGCTTGGGGTCTGCAGGTGGGGCCCAGTGGTCTGCAGGTGGGGCTTGGGGGTCTGCAGGTGGGGCCCGGGGTCTGCAGGTGGGGCTTGGGGTCTGCAGGTGGGAACTGGGGTCTGCAGGTGGGGCCCGGGGTCTGCAGGTGGGGTTCGGGGTCTGCATGTGGGGCTTGGGGGTCTGCAGGTGGGGCTTGGGAGTCTGCAGGTGGGGCCCGGTGTCTGCACTGAGCCAGCACCAGGCGGACGGGATGAGCCAACTGTGAGACCGGCTGGGGAGGCAGGACGCGTGGCCGACAGCCATGTGACTCTCCCGAGGCAGTAATCAGCTTGGGGGTCAGCCTCTCTCCATCTGAAGAAGGCGGAGGGGTCCCTGGGCCCTGGGGTGATGGTGCGAGGCCATGGGTGTCATTTACATCACTCGCTCCTCACCGGCCCGGGAAGGGGGGGTAGGTAGGTGGGCAGATAGATAGATAGATAGATAGATGATAGGTGATTAATAGAGTTAGATAGATGAGAGATAGACAGATGGCAGATGATTGATAGAGATAGACAGATAGACAGACAGAAGGACAGATGATAGACAACTGACTGATAGATGATGGACAGATAGAGACAGACAGCCTGGCAGGTGTTCCTTCAGCTCAGGACCTTAGGACCCAGCTGAAGCCTGAAGCCGTGGCTGCTTGATCTAGTCTTTCTTTTAGCCTCACGAGCTGGCGCCCTCAGCAGCCGGGCTCCTGGCGCAGAGGTCGCCGAGGGAGCGGGACCGGAAGGCAGCCCCGCGTGGCGCCCGCGCTGACAGCTGTCCGAGGCCGCCCTTCCTCCCCGCCCTCTGCTACTGGGGGCTGGGGGCTGGGGTGCAGTCTGCTGGGTGCCCAGGTCCAGGGCGTGAGACACCTGCGCGGGCACTTCTGGAGCCTCCTCTCCCCGCCCCTCGCCCTCCTCCGCACGCGCCCTGGCACGCGCGCGATGAGAGAGGGACACCTTCGTGAACTGACGTGCCACCCGCCCCCACGGCTCTGCCATGGGTTAGAGCCTGTGGTTCCTGAGGTCCTGGCAGAGCCGTCTGGACGGAGAAACAAAACAGCTCCTGACTCAGGCGTGCGGAGCGGCCCGGGCAGGTTCCGGGCTCCTCTGGGGTGGGCGGGGAGGGTCTGGGAGGGGGCAGAGCAGGCTGGCCCTGCTGCGGTCACACCTGGCCCTCCCCTTCCGAGCAGCCACAGGCCGGAAGGTGCTGCGCAGGCAGGACGCAGTGACCGCCCCGGCAGCCCCTGACCTGGCTTCGCTGAGGTGAACCCCACGTCCTCTACATCCCCGGTCCAGACAAGAGTAACAAGAGTAGCGGGGCCTCCACTGATCACTTGCCATGTCGGGCACTTGCCTGTCAGGCATGTCCCCGGAGTCAGGTGTGTGCCGTGTCGGGCGTGCGGCGGCTAGAAGCTCCCAGTGCCTCCCGCTGTGACCCCACCATCCTCCCAGGCAGTGTCATCGCTGCCGACAGGACACTGTCTACGCCACACGCCGCCCCCATCCCTCTGCTGGGACAGATGGCGAAGCCGTGGCTGGCAAGATTTCCTGAGGGATGGATAATTTTACCTCTAAGTGCCTGAGAGATGAGTCACTCACTCACTCAGTCATTCATTCACTCATCTACTCATTCATTCATCCACTCACTCACTCATTCACTCACTCACTCACTCATCTACTCACTCATTCACTCACTCACTCACTCATCTACTCACTCATTCACTCACTCACTCACTCATCTACTCACTCACTCACTCACTCATCTACTCACTCACTCACTCACTCATTCACTCATTCACTCTGGACCACTCCCAGCCGAGTCTTGGGGAGACAGAAAAGGGCAACAAGCTTCTTGCTTGGGACCATGAGACCACACACTGTGTCTGTGGCCGCAGGAAGTGTGTGGTCGGGGAGGATGGGGGTGGGGCTCAGAGGGAGAGGTCTCTGGAAGAGGCATCCGTTTGGGTCCAGCCAGGAAAGACAGGCGGGGAGGGGGTGGCATTCCAGATGGAGGGGCGGCTAGAGCACCGGTGTGGGGGCCGGCGTCGGGCTGGGCCTCTAGCTGAGTGGGGCGCTGACCCGCCCTCTCACCTCAGAGTGTGATGCCGAGGGCAGAGTCGGTCTCCTGGTCCCTGGGCCAGGCCTGGAGGGAGGGAGGGCGGGACAGGCCACCGCCCCGCAGCTCAGGGCTCAGAAACGCGCTGCCCTGGAGGCCGGCGGAGGTGTGGTCACTCTGACCACTGCAGCGGCTGTGCGCACAGGTCCGCGTTGGCGGGACAGGTGGGGTGGGCACGGCGCGGGGGCCGCCAGAGGCAGCCTGGGAGGCCACGGGCTCTGGGGAGGGCAGGGCTGAGCCAGGTGCTGGTTCTGGCCGCAGCCGTGCTGCGGGGCCCTGAGAGCGCCCCACCTCGTCTCCAGCCTCCAACTGAGCGGGGGAGGCCCGAGGTCACGCCCAAGGTCCGTCCGATGCTCGCTGACCCGTCCGTGCCCAGAGCCCCGGCCCTCCGGCCTCCACTTCTCCTCCCGCAGGAGACACGCCACCCTCCAGGTGGCCCGTGGGAAGGCGGCGGCCCTGCCCAGGTCTGGTTCTACCCGACGGGAGGGGCCAGAGCGGGGGCTGGAGCAGAGCCGCCTGCTTCTGCTTCCTGACCCCGTGGCCAGTGTCCTGCGTGGAGCCCGCCGCCTGCCACAGGCGCCAGACAGACAGCGCCTTCTCCCCGCACCCATTTCCCCGAGAAAACCAAGCTTGGCTGCTGACCGCCCCCCTAGAGGCGCTGCTGGGGCTGCCCCTCCCTCCCCACTGCCCCACCTCAGCTGCTCTTGGTTCCGGGAGGCCCGGTGTCTGCAGGAGGAGCCAGGGCGTGAGCCGCTCGCTGTCTGGCCGAGGTCCCAGGCCGGGAGCGAGGGGACCCGGCACCCACAGCGTCCGGGCTCCGGCTCACCTGCGCCTGCTCTCTTGCAGCCTGCGGCAAGCTGACGGGCATCAGTGACCCCGTGACCGTCAAGACGTCCGGCTCCAGGTTCGGGTCCTGGATGACCGACCCTCTGGCCCCCGAGGGCGACAACAGGGTGAGTGCCCCTTCGTCGGGCCCGGGGTGGGGTCGTGTGGACCAGGTGTCCTTGTGGGGCCCGCTGGTCTCCTGCCGAGTGTCTGGCTCTCACGCCGGTGCCAGTGCGTCCACCGCCCGGCAAAGCAGCCAGGGCCTGTGTGAGCGGAGCGTGGCGCCTGGGGCCACCGACTGAGGGTGCGGTGTGGGGAGGAAGAGACCCACCTCCTACCCGCGCCCGCCCTGCGCACACAGCCGCCCGCACACCTGGTGGGATCCGGGGAACCAGCAACGCTGGCGCTGCAAGCGCGCCTCTCGCCCAGCGCCCACCCCCTCGCTGTCCCCCTGAGAGCGCGCGCTCTGCCCAGACAGGGGATCGGGGCTCTGAGCCCGCTGTGTGCCTCCCCGCATGCGTGGCGAGGGCGTGGATTTGCCTGCCGTCCAGGTGGTGATGGGCGCATTTGATCATTAGAGAGCCACTTGCTGCTGGATGGCTTGCTCACCCTCCAGGAAAGGCGGCCCCGGGGACCAGCAAGGGAGGAGAGGTGGGGGGGGGGGGGGATGCTGGGCGGCAGTGGGCGGGCCAGGAGCTCAGGACGGCCTCCACCTCCCCCACGGAGCGCCATGTCCCCAGGCCCTGCCATCGGTTGGGAAGACACCTTTGTCTGTTTGATTGTTTCCATCCTCCCGTCCGGTTCTGATTACACACACGCAGGAGACCAATAACTCGCTTCCAAAACACACACAAAATCAATGTCACTCTGCGCTGCTGCGGAGGGAGGGCATGGTGGGAGGGGTGTGGCCAAAGGCTGGGGGCGAGGGGAGGGCGGGGGACCCTGGTGGGGCCGCCTAAGCTCCAGGGGCCCCGCTGCCCGTGTGCTGAGCGGGCAGAACAGGGTCGCTGGGCATGCCCGGCGTCCATGCTTCCGCGGCTCATTTATTAAGCGCCAGCTGGATGCCCGTGCGTGCTGGGTGGGGCGCTGGTTTCCTGCACCAGGTCTCAGCAGGGACCTGCCCGCGGGCTTCGTTGGCACTGAGGCCCGGAAGCTCCCTCCCGACGCCAAGCCCTCACCCCCTGGCCCCTGCCAGGCTGTGCGCCCCCAGGAGACACGTGCGCTCCAGGGACCCTGACCCCCCACACTGACGGTAGCTCTGACTGTGGAACCTTCTAGAGCAGCGGTTCTCAACCTTCCTAATGCCGCGACCCTTTAGTACAGTTCCTCATGCTGTGGTGACCCCCAATTTCATTGTGACAAATTGAACATAATTAAAGCATAGTGATTCATCACAAAAACAACATGTAATTATATATGTGTTTTCCGATGGTCTTAGGCGGCCCCTGTGAAAGGGTCGTTCGACCCCCAAAGGGGTCGTGACCCACAGGTTGAGAACCGCTGTTCTAGAGTCTAGCGTCTGCTTCTGCTGGCGACCTTGGAAATGGGTCAACGCGGAGACTGGGCGGCCCAGTGCCGTGTCCTCGTCCAGGGCCCAGGCGGCCACGCCCTTTCCAAGGCTTTCTCGCGGGCCCGGGCTTCCATACACGGATGGACTCCTTCCTTCCCCAAATAAGTATGAGCACCTACTGTGCGCCTTTGGCCAGGGAGAGAGCAGTGAGCAAGCAGGGGGCCCTGCAGACCCACAGCCGGAGGCACCCACAGAGGGCTGCCTGGGGCCTTGCCACCCACAGGGGACTCGGTGCCCCGGGCCGTCGGTTCCACCCCCCCTTCCTGGCCGGTCCCCAAGCGGACGCTGCTCTGTCTGGGGGAGAATAGTCCCGTCCCCTTTTGAAACGTGCCTGAGCCTCTGGCCGGTTTGGCTCAGTGGATAGAGCGTCGGCCCGTGGTCTGAAGGGTCCCGGGTTTGATCCTGGTCAAGGGCACGGACCTCGGTTGCGGGCTGGAGCCCTGGCCCTGGTCGGGGCTGGTGCAGGAGGCACCTATCCTGTGTCTCCCTCCCCCCTTCCTTTCTTTTTAAAATCCTCACCCGAGACCCAAGGGTATTTTCCCGTTGATTGTTAGAGAGAACGGGAGAGAGGGGGAAAGACAGAGGGGAACATCCATGTGAGAGAAACACATGGATGGGTTGCCTCCTGCACGCGCCCCAACCAGGGCCAGGCCGGGGAGGAGCCTGCAACCGAGGTACGTGCCCTTGACCGGAATTGAACCCCCAACCCTTTGGTCCAAAGGCTGACGCTCTATCCACTGAGCCACAGTAGCCAGGGCTCTCCCTCATTTCCAGCCTAACAATCAGTGGAAAACATCCTCAGATGAGGATGAACCGAAAAGCAAAAGAAAGTGTGTGCCCTGAGGGTGTGGGAGGGGCCGTGCATCTTTCCCTCTTCATCTTCCCCTCCCGGCTCCTCTCGTGGGAGAGACGCTGCCTGGGGCGGAGCCGCCGGCTCCCTGGGCACCGCTCACCGCCGTCTGCTCTGCCCGCAGGTGTGGTACATGGACGGCTACCACAACAACCGCTTCGTGCGCGAGTACCGGTCGCTGCAGGACTTCATGACCACGGACAACTTCACGTCGCACCGGCTGCCGCACCCCTGGTCGGGCACGGGCCAGGTGGTGTACAACGGCTCCATCTACTTCAACAAGTTCCAGAGCCACATCGTCATCCGCTTCGACCTGCGCACCGAGAGCGTCCTGAAGCAGCGCAGCCTGGACTACGCCGGCTACAACAACATGTACCACTACGCCTGGGGCGGCCACTCGGACATCGACCTGATGGTGGACGAGAGCGGGCTCTGGGCCGTCTACGCCACCAACCAGAACGCCGGCAACATCGTGGTCAGCAAGCTGGACCCCGTGTCGCTGCAGGTGCTGCACACGTGGAACACCAGCTACCCCAAGCGCAGCGCCGGCGAGGCCTTCATCATCTGCGGCACGCTCTACGTCACCAACGGCTACTCGGGCGGCACCAAGGTGCACTACGCCTACCAGACCAACGCCTCCACCTACGAGTACATCGACATCCCCTTCCAGAACAAGTACTCGCACATCTCCATGCTGGACTACAACCCCAAGGACCGCGCGCTCTACGCCTGGAACAACGGCCACCAGGTCCTCTACAACGTCACCCTCTTCCACGTCATCCGCTCCGACGAGCTGTAGGGCCCCCGCCCGGAGCCAGGCCACGGCCCCGCCCGCGTGGAGATCCCGCCACAGCGGCTGCCAAAGTGACCCTCGCGATACCGATCGCACGGATTCGGGACGCCCGGCCGCCGCCTGGCGCGGGGCATCGCGTGCGCGGGCACGGCCTCCGCGTTCCTCCGGCTCTGGCCGGAGGGCGACGGATTTGGGGAGAGGCCCCCCCAACTTTGCAGCTGGAACTGCAGCCCAGGGCTCCCCTCGCCCCCCACCCCTTCAGCCCCCTTTTCGGTCACATGACATACTAGAGAAGTAAGGCGTGTCCGCGGCCAGTTCTCGCCCAGGACGGCCCGCTGTTAGGATCGCATGGACTTTCCTTAGGTCGAGGTCGGTGCCGGTGGGCGGCTCGGCGTGGCCCCCGGGCTCCCGGTCGCGCTCGGCGTCCGGAGGCTCGACGCGGGCTCCTCTAGCGCGTCCCCGTCCCGGCGGCTGCTCCTCGACACGTGTCGTGTCTTAGATTCCCGTGCGAGGCCCCCGTAGCCTGTGCCCCTTGTCCGTGCCCGCGGCGGCCGCCGTAGTGTGTTGTGCAGTGAGTCTTGTTCCTCGAGGTGGTGCCCTGTGCGTGGTTTGAAGTGGGTGTTGTCATGCGATGCCGTAGTTTGGACCCGTAAGTGGGTGGTTCTTGTTGCTACAAAGAAAAATAATCCTCAGTGTTCGCCCTTGTAGAGAGAGAGCCCAGTTCACGGCGAGGTGGTCAGAGGGACGGCTCTCGCCCAGTCCGACCTCTGACCCGGTGACCCCGGGGAGAGGGCTCGCCGGGAGACTCGTTTCCGGCGGGAAGGGAGTGTCCGGGGCACCGAGTGCGGGACGTACCCTTTTAAGTAGAAAGAGGGGAACTCTGCTCTCCAGTTTCCTAAGGAACAATAAACGTAGTCGGAGACTTCGTGTGGCTGCCCTTTCGTGTCTGAGGTGTAACCGATGGGTCTCCCGGGTCCTCGCAGACGCACGTGGCCCCTCAGAAGGGGGAGGGAGGTCCCCCCTTCCGGGAGTTGACAGTGGACATGTTCCCTCTGGGTCTCTGACCACCCGTCCCCCCAAAATCCGGAGCCGAGCGATCATCTCGGAGCTCCCTTCCCCCCATGGGTGAGCAGGAACCAAGGCTCCCCCCAGGACCCCTTCCCTCACCCACCCCCCGCCTGCCAGGCTCCCACAAGGCTCAGCGGGAAGGAGTCGGGACAGGCGCTCCCTGTACGCGTGGCCGGTACACCGGCAGGCCTGTCAGCGGGTGCAGGGGACCCAGGCCCTCGCTGGCCAGGGGCTCCCCAGGGGCTGTGTGGGTCCAGCAGGGCAGCGGTCGGCCCGTCTGGGGTCTGGGCACCCCCCCCCCATGGCCGTCCTGAGCGGGGCCCTGGCTGAGCAGGCCCTGAGGGTTCTGAGGGGCCACGCCCGGTCCCCCAGCACATGGGGGGGACTGGGCCTCATGCCGCGGAAAGGAGCCTTGCACGTCCTTCCACCAGACAGCGCTCGCGGCCGCGGAGGTCCAGGTGGGCGCGGCCTCCCTCCCTCTGCCCGGGACAGGGCACCCGGTGCCAGGACAGCGGTGCGGCCCCGGGAAACCCAGCAGCCCCATGAGCCGGGCCCAGCCGCACGGCCCTCAAACCAGGAGAAAGGAGCCCACACGTGTCCCCCGCCGTCTTCCCGAGCTCCCTGCCTCATCCCGGAGGGGAGCTGGCCGGTGCCGGGCGAGTGGCCGGCGGCACGGAGACGGGCGTAGCTGACGGTCACGGCTCCGCCCCGTGGAACCTGAACCTGCCACGGGTCCCTGTGCCCGCGGAGCCGGAGCCCGTCAGGGAGCGGGTGGCTGGGTGCGGGGCCGTAGAGGCTCGGCCCCCGGGGGGGTTGGGGGGGGCGCCCTTGGGACCCGCCCTGCCCCATAGTTGGGAAATTGCGGATGGAAATAGAGCAGAGGTTCCCAGGCTCCCCGCCCCCCACACACCCACCCACCACCCCGCACCCAACACCCCGCACAACCCACCTGCTGGGCAAGGCGCCCCCACAGAAGGAAGGCTGCCCGGCCGGCGTGGCTGGTGGTCGAGTGTCGCAGCCGTGAGGGACCAGCCGCAATGACGCGGGGAGGGGAGGTGCCTCTCCCACTTCCTGTTCACAAAACATAGCGGGGACGCCCAGATATCCCCCCTCTGAGACGGAGCTGGGGGTTCCCAGGAGCCCGGGTTCCACTCACACGGTCCCGAGGCCCCCGCCCGCCCTGTGACGGGCCCTGTCGGGTGCCACCGGCGGGTGGTCTTGTCACGAGCGCCGCTGTCATGGCTGGCGCCTTCGTCATTCCCCCCGACGACGGAGGGAGACACAACGTACAGACACCCGCTCTGATCCCCGGAGAGAGAGGCGCGGCCGGTGGCCGGGAGGGCTTCCCCGTCTCGGGCGGGGTGTGTGCGAGGGACTACCCCCAGGATATTACACACGCAGGGAGAAGGTCCCCCGAGAGCAGACAGGCAGCCGGCCCACCACGGAGCCTCCCGGCTGCGGGAACGGGGAGTGTCGCTGATGGCAGGACGTCTGTGGCTGCATTTTCTTTATTAAAAGTTTGGCCCGGAGTCCAACCCTCAGCCCCCTGGGTGCTCGGGGGCCAGCGGGGTTCTCAGCTCTGGAGCAGCCAGGCCTCGGGGTGTCATTTCCCCAGGCGGCCCGGGCAGGCGCCCCCCACAGGCGCCCACGGTCCCCCTGCGGCTCCCAGCGCGTCCCCACGCCGAGGGGACTGTGGGAGGCCCAGCTCGTCCGAGGGGCGGAGAGGAGGCCGCTGGCTGGCGGATGGTCGCCTCTGGGGCCGGGAAGTCGGGGCACCAGGCACGCGCCAGGCTCCCCCCGAGGGAAGGGAAGGCCCGGGCTCATCTTCGCTCACCACGGCCACGCCTGACTCCACTCCACTCGAAGGTGCAGCGGGAGCCGCCCGGTCCCTCCGACTCCTGCTCCGCAGGCCCGGCTTCCTCCTCAGGCGGGGACTCTCCCAGGGGCCGAGCTCCCACCCGACAAAGAGGGTCCGTGTCCGCGGACGGGCGGCCGACGTGGAGAGGGGCCGGAACCATCCTGGTCCCCTTGCCGCCTGGGGGTCAGGCTGTGTCGCGCACGGCGGGCGTGGCTGTGGGGCTGCGCGGGCCCGGACTGGCTCTCACCCGCTGTCTCCCGCGGCCCCTCCGCGGCGACGGCACCGTGACGCCCGCCCCGGCCGTGGAGTCTCACCACCCCCGGGCCCGAGGGGATGTTTGCCGGCGGCTGTTTTGTCGGATCCGCGGACGAGTGGTTTGGGGCGAGGCCTCTCTGCTCTGACCAAGTGCGGAGGCCCCAGACGCCGGACTCACACGGGGAGGGCCCGTCCCCCGAGGCAGAGCTGGGGGGTCCCTGGCCGAACTCCCCCCATTTCGCGGATGTCACACACGGAGTCCGCGCAGCTGGCCCCTGGTCAGCGCCCGCCGGCCCTGCACCCGCTGCTCTCCCCGCCCTCGCGGCCCCTGGCACACACGGCGGACGCTCCGGCTGGTGAGTCACCGGACGCTTATTCATCACACGGCAGGTGGCGGAAGATGCTAGAACGGTGAGCCCGGCAAGGATCTGGCTCGTCCTCCAGCCCCGGGCTGGTGAGTCACAGATGCGGCCGCTGAGGGGAAGCGGGGGGAAGCGGGGCCCGGCCAGGGGAGGCCGAGGGCTGGCATCCGCTCCTGCCCCACCTGGGCGGGGGCGCCCACAGATAGGGGGCTTCCCCTTGCCAGTGTGCCCTCCATCCTGCTGCCCGCCCATGCACACACATACATGTGTACAATCAACAACACACATGCTCTCGTGTATACCCATGAACACATGTGAACACGCACGTGCGCACACACACAGACACATACACTCCCCGGCTGATTCTAAGCCGACCGGGCAGGGGCCGCAGGGCCGCTCCTGTGGGCGAGCCCCTCCTGCACATGGGGGCAGCGATGCGCCCGCCCGCTTGGGGCCATGGCGCGTCCCAGCCTCATCCCACCAGGCCCGCGCCCCAGGCCTCCCAGGCCCCCGCCCAGCCAGCACCGCGTCATCGCAGGAGGGAGGGCACGGTCACGCGTGACGTCCCGTCTGCCTCTGCAGTCCACCCCCACCAGGGCCTGGCTTCCTCCCGGCCCGGGCCTGCGGGAGGGGCACCAGGCACTTGGAGATGCTGGGGTGCCCCAGTCTCGGGGGGGTGGTCGCCAGGCTTCCCGTGGGCCGGCTCCAGGGTCCAGCCCGGGCGGAGCGCCTGTGCCCTCTCACCGCCCTTGCTGCGCGGAGCCTGCGTCTCGGGCAGGTGACCCGCGGCCCCGCTTCCCCCTCAGAGCCCTGCCGCCCGCCCTCCACGGTGAGGACGGCCCACGGCTGGTCCGCCCGCACAGGCCAGCACCGCCGGGGGGGGGGGGGGGGGCCTGCGGAGTGGCACCGCGGGCGCAGCTGTCTGCCATCTGGCCAGCTGCCAGGACGGCCCGTCGGTCGGCCCCCCCGCACCTCCCCCTCCCCCCCACCTCCACCCCCGACCCCGCGTGTCCTCCTCGCAGCCCGGCTGAGAGGGAGGGCGGCCCCAGCAGCTGCCGGACGCTGTGAACAGAAACCGTGATTTCCTCATTGATCTCCGCCGCCGCGAAGGGCCTGAAATAAGGTCGAGGAGAGCATGTTGCCGGCTCCGTGCTGTTTCATTTCGCTGATTGAATTCCCGGCTATTCCTGGAGGACCCTCTGCGGCCTCCACTGCGAGGCATCGACGGCGCCCGCCCCCGCCCGCCCCCCTGCCCCCCAAAGCCCTTGCTGTGCCAGTGACAGGAGCACAGCCCCATGGCTGTCCCCGCAGCAGCAGCACGACATGGTGCCCACCGCCCGCGGGCGCCCCCCAGCCCCCGGCCCCCTCCCCCTGCCGCGTCTCCTCCATCAGCTGCCGGCGGCTGCGTGTCCCTGTGCGGGCGCCGCTGTCCCGCTAAATTGGCCGTGAGAGCCCGTAATGAAGAAGGACCGGCCGCGTCCGCCGTCGCAGGAGCTGCGCTGACCTGGGCAGAGCCCGGGGGGAGGGGGGGGCGGGGGGGCGAGACGCCCAATTACAGCTCCGCGCTGCTCTGCTCGGCCTGGCCTGCGATGCGTGCGGCTTCAGGGACGGCGGCGGCTACAGCCTGAGAGTGTCCCCTCCTTCCTCCCAAAGGCTGTCCGCCCTCCGGCTGGTCCCTGGACCCACGGGAAAGCTGCCCTGGGTGGCGCCCTGCAAGGCAGTTCTGCAAACGTACACAGTGCGCCCAGCTCCTGAAGGGCACGGCCCCCGCCCTGGGTGTCCACTCCGTGAAGGGCATGCCCCCGCCCTGGGTGTCCACTCCGTGAAGGGCACGGCCCCCGCCCTGGGTGTCCACTCCGTGAAGGGCACGGCCCCCGCCCTGGGCGTCCACTCCGAGAAGGGCACGGCCCCCGCCCTGGGCGTCCACTCCGTGAAGGGCACGGCCCCCGCCCTGGGCGTCCACTCCGCGAAGGGCACAGCCCCCGCCCTGGGCGTCCACTCCGCGAAGGGCACGGCCCCCGCCCTGGGTGTCCACTCCGTGAAGGGCACGGCCCCCGCCCTGGGCGTCCACTCCGTGAAGGGCACGGCCCCCGCCCTGGGGTCTCCGTCGAGCGGAGACAGACTCAGCTGTTCCAGACGGTTCTCAGAGCCTCAGGCCTCGGGTACGAACCGGCGGCCAGCCTCACCCGGACGCAGGACTAACAGAAAGGCCTGGGCAGCCCCGTGAACCCTGAGGGAAGCCCGGCTCAGAGGGGCCTGTGGGGCGCCGTCTCTGAGGAGCACCGGTCTGCACCCCGTCTCTCCTCTCCCCCCGATGAGGAAGAGGGGTCAGTGCCGAAGGGCAGGGTGACCCGTCACATCCCGGCTCCCGCAC